GGCCCACCCCAATGACCTCATTTTAAATTAATTGCCTCCATAAAGATCCTATCTCCAAATGCAGTCACATTCTGAAAGTACTGTGGGTTAGGACTTCACCCTACAAATTTGGAGGGACACAATAATTCAGCCCATACCAAAGCCCATGGAAGGGCTTCAGGAACTTTGTGAGCTGCCAAGGTTCAGTGCTGATCTATACCCAAGTATCTATCTGTCTGAGACATGTCCACATCATGTGGCTGATTCCAAAGGGGTCCCCGGGCCCCCAATTGCATTAACTAACTAATTAACTAACTCAGAAGGGAGTTAAAGCTGTAGGACTAAAGCCTAGATACAGCATAGGTGTCAAGAAACACGATTTAGTATTCGATGGTATATGAAGAATGGGAGTTAAAGACTACAAAGTTGTAAGGCACTGGAAATTCTGTTGGAACTGGTGATTGGGAGAGAGTGGACTTTTACTGTCAGACCTTATTTGAATTTCATGGCAAATTATGTAATTTCCATGATTGTCAATAAAAAACACTGGTGATTTTCCATAACTAAGTGGATTCAATGAAACTAAACTTCTGCTTAGTATGTCCTTGCTAATATTTTCCTTAAAAAGTCGCAGCGCTACAAAACTGTCACCAGCTGCTTCCTATTAGGAATGTGGTTAGCAGATGTGGGTTTTCACAGTCGTACGGCATGAGATGGTTAATCCATTTTTGCGGGTTTCAGATGGATAGTGATTTATCTTAGTGGGATGAATTTAAAAATATGCTTGCATCAGCTAAAGGACATGTGCACCTTTCCCTCTTAAACTGCATGTTTGTCCTGGGGAGGAAATATAGGTTATTTCTCCTGGAAGGCAAAGTCGTTACTATCCATTGAAAGGGATAACTGATCTCACTGTCTTCTAACTAGAGGAGAGTTATGCATGGATCCATTTTCAAAGGTGAAAGTCGGATTGGTTATCTTACAAGCTTATTTCTCCCTTTGGCCTCTTTTAAATAGTAATTGAGTGGCTCCACTTTTGTTTCCTTGGCATCAGGCTGCCTTTGTGGCAGTGACCTTCAGGCTTGCTAAGGGCTGCAGTTTTGCCTGAGGCCCTCCTTCCTTATGAAATTACACAACACTCAAACCTTGGAACCAGCCCCAGACCCACTAATTCTTTCCTTTGATGGACTCTTGGCAATATATACTCCCTTTCAGCTGAAGTGCAGCTTTATACAAGATCTGTTTGTCACCGAAATTAATTTGGCCATTTGCCCTTTAAGCCTGGAAACAAGTGGTATTATAGCAGACTCATTCCTAGATAAAGTATAGATTCTCAGCTAGAGAGTTTCTACCAAAGGTTTTATTGTTTCTCCTGCTGAAGGTCAACAGGTAATAGTACCAGGAACGGGTATTTTGTTTGGAACTCTTGCCATGTGACAGGTACAGTGTTGCTAAATGCTTTTCATACCTCGTCCCACGCAACCCTCACAACCAGTCTTAGAAGGTATCTGATTTTTTCTGAAAAAGAAATGAAAGCCCGTGACCTGACTTGAACATTGTCATATAGCTAGAAAGTGACCAGACTTGTATTTGAACCTCATGCTCTTAATTATCATGCTATACTATACATTTACTAAGAGGGAGAAGAAAAAAAAAAAAAAGACCGTTGGGTTTTGAGAGAGCACAGAATCAGAACTTGAATCTCAGAACTGTAGGATGAAATTATAGAACCAAGAGAGCTAATACAATCTCCTCATTTTACAGTAGCAGCGATCCCTGCCTGTTCTGAGAAACAGTAAGGTGACAGCTTGAGCAAAGGACAATAGATATTGATAAGTGACAGGAACAAAAGGTGATTAGGAATTATCTCAGCCATTTCCTTTTTTTAGAGGCAGATACAGTAACATGCCAGTTCAAAGAATTATCTAAGCTTGTCTTGCTGTCCTTGTGAAACCGTGGAAACAGATGTGTACTCTTTTTATTTCAGATTTCATTATCCACAGTAAGTAGATTTCCACTGACTACTTGAGATTTCCTAGATGGTAATTTTCACTCTGCAAGAAACCAATAACCTTCGCAGGGATTATTTGAAAGGACTACAGTGCGGGAGGCACTGTATTTCAATCAATCACAGGTTTAATGAGTTCCTTCTCTGCAAGGCAATATTTTTAGAATAATGGGAAATAAAAAGAAGTTGATGGGTGGTCCCTGTCCTCCTGTCGTTTGTAGTAATCTACTTGGGCAGACCAGCTAGACAGAGAATGAAATCGTTCAAAGGAAAAATCTCAATAACCTGGTTTTTCAGAAAGCTGAAATGAGATCTTGCTAGCTGGGAAGGAAAAGTAGTCAAAGGGAACAGAAGGTGTTTGCAAAGAAGGACTTAGGCCAGGGGTCCTCAAACTTTTTAAACAGGGGGCCAGTTCACTGTCCCTCAGGCTATTGGAGAGTGCGCACTGTGGGCCTGGGACGAGTGGGCTGCTAAGCAGGACAGGCAGCTGCGGCAAAAACACCTGGCGGGCCGGATAAATGTCCTAGTCGGGCAGCATGTGGCCCACGGGCTGTAGTTTGAGGACGCCTGACTTAGACAATGTGCATCATTGGGAAACACTGGATGAGTTTGGCCCATCTGAAAGTACTGATGAAAGAGAATGTTGAAAAGCTCACCTGAGTTCTGATGGCGAGCCTTATAAATACACCTTGATAATCTGGGAATTTTTTAACGGATATATTTAAAAATAATTTTTAAAGGAAAAATTCCCAAGTAATCCACATACCAATCTCCATTGTCTTCTCTACTCCCAGGGTTAAATATTTTATATAATTTGCTATCTTATGTAAGTGCCCTCACTTACTATTAGTTGGAAGATCTGTGACTTTTTCTAACTCTCTTGATGAAAGGATTTGATACTCCTGGAAAGAATTTCCAACACTTTCCTTCTGCTAATAAAGGTGTCCTCGAGCGCCCAACCCCTGGGTGATTACGAATGCACAAGTGTTAAAAATAGTGCTCATACTCTAAGGAATCAGCTGTGAAATGCTCTCTAACAAGCAGAAATTTCACATAACTCAGGCCTCTGGGGGCTCACGCCTCAGCTGGAGCAAAGCCAGAAACGTCTGTGACTGCAGGTGCACTTGGGCACATTGGGACCTGCCGGAACAGCGGGCTGGCCTCACTGTAGGCAGATGATTTAGGAGAGGACTGGAGGGTTGAGCTTTTGCTGGCATTTGCAACTTGGAAAATCCTGCTCTACTAATTGCAAAGAGGATTCTGCTGCAATGATTTTTTTTTTTTTTTGGTAAGATACATTTCTCATCTTGAATTCTTTCTTCATTTGGGCCCTGGATGCTTCCCAGCGTCTATTTTTATTGTTTTAACTCCTGGTAGAAGAGGCTTTTCAGAAGTTTCTGCCTGCGCATGAATGTGTATTCACAGAGTGGTACATGGCCATGGTTTCCAAGCCTCAACGTGTACTTTATCAGCAAGCACGTATGCAGCCCCTTTTATGGGAATTGGTGCACATTCTGTTTGTCCCCAAACCTGCCCAAATGAAAACATGGGAATTTTGATTTTACTGTGGATGGAAAATTAGAGAACACCGTGACCTCATGAGTTTGCTGAGAGCTTGCTTTCTCTGCAGTGTGGTTTCTGGACCCTCATTTTGGAGGTCTGAGATATGCTGTATAGTGAAAAAAGGCACTGGGCCAGGAGGCTGGGAGACCTGAGTTGTCTCTCCTTTCTCACTAGGGGTTTGCGCCAGAATCTTTGGCTTTCTGGCCCTCAGTTTTGTTTTGTTTTTTTCTCACCACTATTTAATGCGGATGGCCCTTGGTTTCCTCAGCTCTTCCAGCCCCTGGAGTGGATAGATTGCATCACCAATGTCCTTGGGTAAAAGCCATTGCAGGCTCTGTAGTGTGCACAGTAGTGGCTCATGGCCTTCGGTCCTGGGACCTCTCTGTGAATTGATGAAAGTTATAGGCTCCAAAAATTACCTTAGAGATGTAACTTTCCATACAATTTCTGGGGATGTCCATCTACACTTGTCCCAACACAAGTCAGATTGCTGGATATGGTGGTGCACACTTGTAGTCCCAGCTACCTGGGAGGCTGAGACAGGAGGATCGCTTGAGCCTAACGGTTATGGCCTTTAGTATGCTATGCCGATCAGGAGTCTGAACTAAGTTTGACATTAATACGGTGACCTCCCAAGAGCAGGGGTCCACCAGATTGCCTAAGGAGGAATGAACTGGCCCAGGTGGGAAATGGAAGAGGTAAAACTTCTGTGCTGATCAGCAGTGGGATCACAGCTGTGAATAGCCAGCCACTGCATTCCTGCCTGGGCAACATAGTGAGACAGATCCTGTCTCTAAAAAAAATAGAGTCAGATCTCCAAAGTTAATTCTGAACTCTTCGATATTTTATTATATGAGGCTTTTCACATATCCTGCCACTTCCACTGACCCTATGCTCTGTTCCCATTGGAATTCTGGCATCCTCTTAAGTGTCCACCTATGACGGTTAATTTTTTTTTTTTTTTTTTTTTTTGAGACAGAGTCTCACTCAGTTGCTCAGGCTAGAGAGCCGTGGCGACAGTCTAGGTCACAGCAACCTCAAACTTCTGGGCTCAAGCAATCCTCCTGCCTCAGCCTCCCGGATAGCTGGAACTACAGACATATACCACCGTGCCCGGCTAATTTTTTCTATTTTTAGTTGTTTGCCTAATTTCTTTCCATTTATAGTAGAGATGGGGTCTTGGTCTTGCTCAGGCTGGTCTTGAACTCCTGAGCTCAAGCAATCCTCCTGCCTCAGCCTCCCAGAGTGCTAGGATTACAGGTGTGAGCAACTCGTCTTGGCCTATGATGGTTAATTTTATGTGTCAACTTGATTGGGCTAAGAGATGCCCAGATAACTAGCAAAACATTCTTTTATATTGTGTCAGTGTTTGTGTTTTTGGAAGAGATTAGCATTTCAATGGTAAAGAAGATCCCCCTCACCAATGTGGGCAGGCATCATCCAATCAGTTGAGGGCCTGGATACAATAAAAAAGAAGAGAAAAGGTGAATTCACGCTGCTTGAGCTGGGACATCCATCTTCTGCCTTCAGACTTCAGTGCTTCCGGTTCTCAGGTCTGGGCACTGGGACCAGGACTTACACCATATACTCCCACCCCTTTTCTGGCCTTCAGTCTCAGACTTACACCCTTGGCTCCCCAGGTTCTCAGGCCTTTGGGCTTTCCTGGGGCTCCAGTTTGCAGATGGTGGGACCTTTCACTCTCCATAATCTTGTGGCCAATCCCTTGTAATACATTTACATATCTGTATGTATCCTATTGATTTGTTTCTCTAGAGAACCCTGACTGATACAGATTCCCTCTGAGTTGTGCACTCTCCATTGTCACCTCTGTGAAGACGACCTCAGGTCCAGCCAACTGTTCTTTTTATTCTGCTGGGAGTGGCTCCTACCTGTCACTTAACCACATAGTATCACACCTAGCTGGTTGGTTCAGCGTTTTCCTTCCCTAGGAAACCGCAAGCGCTCAGCTGTGGTACATATTACTCAGCTTATCTCCGGGACCTCAAAAGGAGCCTGAGCGCTCAGTATGTGCAGTATGAGCGCTCAGTATGAACCAATCAATGCAAGAACGAACGTGCCACCCAGGCTTGCAGGCTTGCAAAGTGCTTCTCCGAGCGGATTTTGCTTTCTGTGCCCGGGCACCTCCTCTGAATTGCACGGTAGAGGTCAGGAGGTTTTTTTTTCGGGGGGCTGTGGGGTACCAGTGGAAGGAGAATGTGAGCTGGAGGCCGAACCGCAGTCACCCGGGCCGCCCGCGTCCGGTGAGCTGCAAGGGACCGGACAACTTCTTAACCTCCCGGAAGCGGCTCCGGGCCCCGGCCCGCCCCTCCGGAAGGTGGGCGTGGCCCTCATGAATAATGAATCGCGGCGGGGGAGCGGCCGGGCCCGCCCCCTCGGGCGGGAAGGGGGAAGCGCCGAGGCTGCCTGACTGGAATGAGGGTAGCTGCGGCGACGGCGGCGGCGGGAGCGGGGCCGGCCATGGCGGTGTGGACGCGGGCCACCAAAGCGGGGCTGGTGGAGCTGCTGCTGAGGGAGCGCTGGGTCCGGGTGGTGGCCGAGCTCAGCGGGGAGAGCCTGAGCCTGACGGGCGACGCCGCCGCGGCCGAGCCGGAGCCCACTCTGGGGCCGGCGGCGGGCGCCTTCAACGGCCTCCCGAACGGCGGCGGCGCCGGCGACTCGCTGCCCGGGAGCCCGAGCCGCGGCCTGGGGCCCCCGAGCCCGCCGGCGCCGCCGCGGGGCTCCGCCGGCGAGGCGGGCGCGTCGCCGCCCGTGCGCCGGGTCCGAGTGGTGAAGCAGGAGGCGGGCGGCCTGGGCATCAGCATCAAGGGCGGCCGCGAGAACCGGATGCCGATCCTCATCTCCAAGATCTTCCCGGGGCTGGCCGCCGACCAGAGCCGGGCGCTGCGGCTGGGCGACGCCATCCTGTCGGTGAACGGCACCGACCTGCGCCAGGCCACCCACGACCAGGCCGTGCAGGCGCTGAAGCGCGCGGGCAAGGAGGTGCTGCTGGAGGGTGAGCGGGGCCGGCGGGCGGCGGGTGGCCTGGGCTCGCCGGCGCTCACTTTGTTCCTGCCCCGGCCCCTTCGCGGGGCGAGCCCCTTTCCTCCGCCTCTCTCCCCAAACTCCGGCTTCTGGGGCTTTGAGTGTGGAAGAACTGATGTTCCTTGCAGGAAAAGTTGGGCAGCCTCCGAAGTGTGGCTTGCAGCCCCTAACTAAGGAAGACTCGGCTGAGATTTAGCAAAAAGCAGCCGCGTAGGAAGCCCCCCCTTCTGCACCATAAGCTGACACTAAGAACTAGACGGAGACCGAACGGCTCGAGCTCCGTAGGTCTCCGTTTGCCTGCTGAGAAGTGCCCGGTTGGCGCTTTTCTTCGCTCACCTCTGGCTCCCCGGGGCGGGCGGATCTATTAAAAAAAAAAAAAAAATCCATCCACACCGATGCCAGCGGTGTGCTTGGGCAAACCACCAAAACGCTGGTTAATTTATGGGAATTTAACCCATCATTGGCTCTCAAGAGTAACCAAAGGAGATCATAGCACTTCGTGGAAGCCAGATAGCTGAAGCAGCAAGTTTGTGTGGTTAATGAGCCTTGTTTCACTGGAGGCTCACGTGTTTGAACATTTACTGCCAACTAGAGTTTCGCCCCTTTTGCAAAAGACTGGTGCCAGCTTCCTACCGCTTACAGGCGTGCTGTTTGAAGACTATTAGGCTTTTTATAAGAAACTTGAAGTGGTAAATTACAAGATGGGTCTGAATGGCCAGGATTATTCTTTACCTTAAATATGTATGTAATCTGTAAATGGGATCTTTTATGACGAATTTATGAAGCTAAGACAGCATTAAATCTCCTCTAAGGACTCATGCATGTTGGAGGCGACAGAGTATGGTAAATGAAATTGTAAATGAAGCAATTGTCAGTTGCTTTCTTTAGAAATTTTTGAGCGATCACCTTTCTTTCTGATCCAGTCATTCAAGAAGCATTTATTGCTAGCTGCGTAGAAGAGACTATGGTGTCTCTGTTCGGTTTGTAATTCAGGAAATGATAGAAAAATGCAAAACAATTTATAGGGAGGAAAAACATCAAGTTCTTGGTTATAGAGTGCAAACTGTATGTAAATGCCAAAAGAATGCAACATTAGGAAGTGGTGGAAATGGGGTTAGCCAGGGAGGAGCTGAATTTTGAGCCAGGTCTCCAAGGAAGTGATGGACATAGACAGGCAGAGATGAGTCAGGAGGGTTTTCCTGGCAGAGAAAACAGGAGAGAAGGGCTGGGGTTGAAGAGGGACCAATTATTAAACCAAGAGGCAAGAAGTCTAACTTGCAAAATGATTTTCACCTTTTATAAATCTGTATTGTGAATGTTGGAAAGAAATATTAGCTTGCAAGAAATGACTATGCTCCAGTTGTGGAATTCCAGTGTGCTATCTTTATATCATTTTATTTGTAAATCTTATTTATATCCCACTTATAAGTGGAGCTAGACATTGCTCAGAAATTAGTGTTAATAGAAGGAGTAAAATTGTGGCTTGGGCACATATGTAAAATAATTGTTACCCTGACCCTGTACCTTGAAATTGGTCTAGCTGAATATTTGGAGCTGGGGCAAATTCTTAGAGCACTGAATTTAGATACTGTTTATGTAGTACTCAGTGATGATGGCAGTTAAACCCTTTACACTGGTGGTCCCCAATCTTTTTCACACCAGCAACCGGTTTCATGGAAGATAATATTTCCTCTGATGGGGGTGGTGGTGAGGGTATGGTTTCAGGATGATTCAAACACATTGCATTCATTGTGCCACCACACCTAGCTAATTTTTTTTCTATTTTTAGTAGAGGTGGGGTCTCCTTCTTGCTCAGGCTAGTCTCGAACTCCTGACCTCAAGTGATCCTCCTGCCTTGGCCACCCAGAGTGCTAAGATTATAGGTGTGAGCCTCTGGCTAGCCTCTGTTACGGTTTTGATATGAGTCTGCAAGCAATTGATTTATTATGGTCTCTGTGCAATCAAACTTTTCTGCTAATGCTAGTCTGTAATTGCAGCCACTCACCGCCTCAGTTCCACCTCAGATCATCAGGCATTAGATTCTCATGAGGAGTGAGCAACCTAGATCCCTTGCATGTGCAGTTTACAGTGGAGTTCATACTTCTATGAGAATCCAATGCTTCCCTTGATCCGATAGGAGGCGGAGCTTATGCAGTGATGTGAGTGATAGAGAGCAGCTGTCAATACAGATGAAGCTTCCCTGATAACCTGCCACTCACCTCCTGCTGTGTGGCCTGGTTCCTAACAGGCCATGGCCCAGGGGTTGGGGACGACAGCTTTACACTATATTAAAAACAAACAAACAGTTTTTGTGTGGATATAGTTTGAACCTGGTATTCATACCAGTAAAATGAAAACCCCCTAGTAAATGCTTCCCAGAATTTATTAGTGTAAAATAGGCCACATGTGCTTTTAGAAAGGTGGTTTATAGATGGCAGCATAATAACATATTTATTGAATGCCTTTTTACCTAACACACAGGTTCTACTTTATTTTCCCATTTGGTATAAGACAGGCAGTTTTTGTCCTTATAAATGTGGGGAAGTCAATATGGTAGACTTAAGACATTGCATTCTCAAGCCAGGGGATATAAAAATAAAATTACTCAAGATATACAATGTCACTGAAAACAGTGATTTAATTGAACCAGTCAAACTATTTAAAGTTGAGTGCTGGTGTTCCATCCAGGTAGGCCACTTTTAAAAGACAGATTTTATGCTTAGTCCTTAAAGTTTTCAAACTGTACTGTACTGTCCTTCCATTAGATGTCTCAAAACTTGAAAAACTGCCTTAACATGGCACAGTGATGCGGGCAGGGAATTTTAGGCATGCTCTTGCCACCCCCATGCTAGGGAAAGCTGTAGTTTCTGGTTGCCTGTGGTTAGGGAATTGAGCTAAAGGGTTCCTTTTCATCTGAGAGATTTGTAGGGATTCTTCATTCATTCATCAAACATTTAATTCAGCTCTTATCATGTGCCAGAGGCACTGGAAGATACCTGATTCCTGCCCTCAGGAAGTTTAGAGTTGAGATAAGAGAGAGAAAGAAGTAAATAAGTGCAGTAGTACAACAAAGGGCTAAAAATGCTGTTAACAGATGTCTGGAGAAAGCACAACACAAAGGAGAGGTCCTTATACGTCCATAATAGGAATTAGAGGATACCCGGGAAAAGTTTGATAGAGAAGTTGAAGCTTGCATTGAGCCTTCCCTTAGGCAGAGAAAGCTGCCACCAGTAAAGACACAAGTGTGAGACATCAAGAAATTAATCTGTCTAGTAAGTTTGTTTCTGGCTAGTGGTTTGTAACCCTTAAGCAAGTTATTTAATCTTGCTAACCTTTAGTTTCCTCATATGTAAAACTGGGGTGATAATTACACCACCCTCAAAGGGTTGTTAATTCATTTGACAATTTAGGTGTTGGCTTTTTTAAGGATAAGGAATACAGCAGTGAACAACAACAAAGTCTGAATGAGGAAGGTAGGACTGGGTCATGAAGGTATGTCACCAGTTAACAAAGACACTTTCAGAATAGCCAAGATAGCAAGTTGTTAAATCCAAGGCTCCATTTTACTTGAAAAGAAACACATGGTAAGACTTGTTTTAGGTGAATGGTTAAGAAAGGGTTTGGTCCTGTCTTAAAGTAAATCTGAACTATAGGGAAAAAAAAGAAAAAAAATAATTTAAAAAAAAAGTAAAAACAAAATTAAAAAATAAAAAAAGAAAGGGTTTGGGCTGATTAAATGCAGTGGTGTTTACAACTAATTGATCACTACTTCACTTGACTACCCTGTTAAAAAAATGAGTTTGTATTTTTTGGGTGCAAACAACTTTTTCTAAACTTGTTTTTCTGCCCTCTCTTGCACAGGCCAACTTTTTTATCCTTAAATTTTGCACTTGGTTTCCTATCTCTGATTTTTCCTCTTTCTTCACGATTATTACTCAGAGCCTTAAAACTTGCCATTATTACTCAGAGCCTTAAAACTTGCCATTAAGTGTGCGTTGTAGTTTTGGCTAGTGACTCAGCATGAATATTAATTAAGTCATGCAGATAGTTTTTGTATTAATAATGGAAAACTTAAGCATAAAGGGGCAACTCTACTCACCTATTAGATATTGTATGTTGAATGTACTGTGTCCTTTGTTCTAGAAATATGGTCGATCCAGAAAGTTTCTGGAATTTATATTTTTAAGGCTATGAAGCTGACTAAATGAACATGAATTAGACTACACATTGAAAAGTGTTCTAGAGGAGGTTAGGAAAGATGGTATAAAATATCTAGCTTGATGTCTGATGTTTGAGATAAGATCAATATTTTTGAAGCAATTCTCACTGTCATATTGTTGAAAAATCACCTTTTATTGCTTAAATAAGATTATAACAGTATTGTTACCGAATCTACTAACAAGAAATTGGACAGAGGAAGTACACTGGCATGAAATTTAACGTCAGCATTGAAATAATTTTTCTATCTAGAATGGTTTGCGGCTGGTCCCATTTGAATGGTGTTTACAACTAATTGATCACAACCACTTAGATTTTTTTGTTCCTTCTCCACCCCCACTGCTTCATTTGACTAACTTAATTTAAAAAAAAGGAAGTAGAATGGTTTGGGATTTTGAGTGTCATATATAATATGACTCTTTTTATATGTCAGGGGGCACGTAACAAATACTGCTGACATTATTATTAGGCTACTAAGTTAAAGAAGCTGGCTGGGATTTTCACACCGCCTCTTTCTTCATTGTATATTCAAGTTGAGAGTCTTCTAGGGAAAACATTTTACATTTTCTTTAAGCTTTGCATGTATATTCATTAATCGATCTCTTAAAGAACAACTAAATTGTTAGGATGTTTGTGTTTCTGTGCTTGTTTCTTTTTGTTTAACTAGCCTCTTTATGTTGCACTTCAATGATTAGACGTGCTTACATGAGAAGCTGTTTTTGTAACCAGATTATTTCTCACAGAGCCCCCTTCATGCTCCAATACACCCTCCAAATTATTACCAAAATGTAAGAAGTTGATTGATTCTAAGACAGAGTGGATATGAAAATTCTAAGAACATTTTTAGGGATCATAACCAGGCTTTAATTTAGATCCCAACTGATAACTCAGTAACTTCAACTAACATGTGCCTTGTTGTGTAGTCTTTCCTGGATGAGGGTTACTCTGCCTTGTGATCAGATGTGTGCTTTTGTTCATAAGGGGTGAGGTACAGCCTGTGGCCATGGAACAGTGTTCTGCTGTTCTGAGAGTATCCAAGTGTCCAGTCAGCGTTCTTGGCTAGGCTAGCACACTATGCTAACTGAACAACAAATAATGCCGCTTGCTTGCATTTTCCATTAAATGGTATAATAATACCTTACGTTTTTGTCTGAATATGCCTTTGGATCTGTATTTTCTCAGTTGATTTTTATACAGTCCTTTGAGGTAGGCTGTTTATTTTTGTTGTGCAGATGATTAAACTGAGGTTCACTAAAGTTAGTGAATTACTGAAGGTCTTAAAATTTCTCTTGATTTTTAGGGGAAAAATGTAATGTTTCCTTTGGGCAAGAGGAAATCTCTGACCTGAAATTTTAAAAGTTGTAAAGTCTCATCTCATAGATGAGGAATGAATGGCCAGAGAGTTTAAGTGGCATGATTAAGGTCACCTAACAAATTAGTGGTAGAACTTGGATTAAAACCCAGCCAAGTGCTTCCTTTGTAGTGCCATGCTACCTACAACAGATCAGTCAGATCTTTTAGCCTCTCCTATAGCTCATCATATTGCAATATGCTGTGAGAGATTAATGTGCAAAAGAAGTTGAAGATGGTCCCTGGCATCACAG